CACAACGGATATTATTTGAGCTCAATGGGTTTCTTGGACACAAGACCGCCACTCTAACCTAACCTAACCTAACTTATATTAACACATACGAAATTATATAAAATAACGTTTCTTTTATAAATACAACTATTCTGAATTTTTAATTTGATAAAAATTTATTTTTAATGTTTCCTCGATGTTTATACATATCTATAATTTAATATAAATTAAATATTGGTACTGATATAGATATGTACATGTGGAGAATAAGTGACAACTCTTTTTTAAAGGATAGCTCAAAATAATGTACGTAGTAAATACAAGACCATTTCTTTAATTCGCTGGCACAAATAAACTTCTCTGACTAACTTATTATTTTTCGACTTTTCAAAGTGAAGTCGTAGCGATTGGGTTTACATATTAGTAAACTTCTAACTATATTATATATTGCAGCAATATTTCCATTTTTATTCACTGTCAAGCGGTTATTAATGAATTTCAAACTTTCTTTACCAAATCAATGCTAATCAGCAAGTGTTCAACGGAAATCGACTGACGATAGTTAAATGAAGTATCTATCCTTACTGTTATTCCCTGATTCAGCTGATAATTAAGAAAAGCTCATATAAAACATGTGAACCAACCCGATCGTCACAGCATAAGTACAACAACATCTTGCACCCGAAAATTTTTTGGACTGGGAACAAATTTATATTGCTAGCCTAATTGCACTTCCCTTAAGCTACTGGTGCATAAGAACCTCACAGGGATTTCGCAAATACACAACTTGAATTTCGTTCACCATTTATTGCACAAGTTGTGAAAATTTAGATAAAGAAGAAACAATTATACATTTCTTCTATGATAGCCTAGTTTTATCTAATGGTGGAAACTGCTTTCTAAACAGGTATTTCCTTGAGAGACGCATTAGTCATCAGAAAAAACGAAGAATCTGTTAAATTAAACCAATTCAACAGGATGGATTTAATGTGTACATAGGACCTTCTTACTAAGAACATGGAATTAAACAACCAACCATATATTATCTGCACTGAAAGCCTGATAATATTGTCTTATATAAAATGGAGTAACTATTATCAAAATTTATTGGATTGGATGTTTATCAAATCTACTGCTTTTAGTAAAAGGAATGTAAAACAAAAGTAAACAGATGGATTCATAGATAGTAAAGTCTTGGTGCCGTTAAGTGGCACCGTATCTTTTTAATAGCACTTTTTATGTAAATTGCAGTTTGTCAATAGTATTGAAGAGAAGCATTAAGCAGAAGCATTTATCTTACAAATCGTTTACTACGACACGTGATTGACAAAGAGATGTAAATATTTTTGACTAAAAGAACTCACTAAAATTGACTTAATAAAGTCACATCATTGGAACCAATTAAGAGATTTAAGTAATTTCGCCAACCACTAAGTAATTTCAATAAAAGCCTATATCTATATTTTTTATTTCTTCATGAATGTCATCAAGTGCTAATCTTATCTACTACGTTCATAGAAGAACGAGTGTAAAACGAATGGAATACAGAATTGTTCATACCAAAGCTTGGTTCCATTAGGCAGCTTCAATGTGCTTTTAAGTATCACTTTATATCTGTGTTGAACTTTATCAATAGTATTTAGGGAAGAATAAACAAACTATAGAATTGTTGATTACATATGTTAATATATTATAAAATGGTTATGTTGTCTTTGCTCAAGAAGTCTTAATACTCTCATATTGTTAAACTGGTTTATTGAAATTCAATAGCATCTTACGTCTTTTAAATAACATTATATTCAAATTATTTGTGTTTTAATGTTTCATCTTTTTCCACATATTTGTTTCTGTGTGTAGATTTTCTTGCTATTAACTTAAAAATCCAAGCTCTCCATTGAAAATAAAATACTAAGATAATTTATAAGATAAATATTAAGCCTATATGGCTTTATGGTACCGAAGTATGTGGTAAAGTTCAATAAGTAATCTGTATTGATTATAGCTCTGAGAATTTGAAGACTCCAAAAATAAAAATAGTAGCATTTATCACAAAATCGTTTATTATGCCACGAGAATGATAAAATAATGTGACTAACTTCGACTGATTCAACGCGTATAGATCGGCCTATAGAAGTGGTGCTATTCGAACCAGTTAAGAGTTAAATTTTCCTATACATTATAAATATGATTCTGACTTGCAAAAAGTCAAATTGAAACAAATGGTAATATACATCAAACTCAAGTCAAAAATCTTATGGAAATGTTGAATGGTTCTAACAAAAGTATTTGGATACTTTTTGCTTGATGTGGGATTCTTAGTAGATCGGCATATGCGGGCTCTATTATTAACTCAAATAGCTGTAGGTTTAGTACTTGACTACTGATCTTCTCAAATCAAGAACCGACCATTAAACAAAAAGGTTCTCTGCTGTTCTCTGAGTTTGGTTGGTTCCTATTCTGTTTTAATTTGGAACACCCGTTTATGATCATTGCGATTTTTTCATATGAAATGGTGTGGTATGGTGTGGCATACAAAACTAGAAACAAAATATAATATTAAGTAGTAAATAAAAAGATACAAAATCGTTTTGTAAACACCTGATAAATAGGATGCGTTTGCTAATACTAATTTTCATTTCTAATCCTTCAGTAAAGAAAGCCCAGATCATTATTGCAGTAAGGATACTATTTATACAGACCTAGAACTGTTTCTGCTTACTTAGTGAGAGTAAACCCACAGAAATCCACAACTCGGGAATATGAATAAAATCACTTAACTCATAAAACCTTTAGTGTCTCTAATTGATGAATTTTATGTTTCTTCACAATAACGGTTCACATTCACATTCAACTGTTTACACTTATACACAAGTTAATTAGGTTAATTAACTATAAATTATGTACGGCAATAAAAATGATAAGACACATTTGTGTATTCTTAATTGCCACTTTAAGCTATTGGTACAGCTTAAAGTGGCTTAAAGTCGCTGTAGGTTAAGTACTCGACTACTGATCTTCTCAAATCATAGAGCGACTATTAAATAATAGGTTATTATATGAAACCTTTGTGTTTATCTAATTGTCTGAATTAGTAAATCTATGTATGACATTTTTTGCTTTTGAAATAGTATTTCTCGTGAGATCTTCAAGATGATATTAGTGTCATATATACACTTCCGTATAAAATAGTTAATAAATTATTAGTAATAAATAAAAAAATAAATAAATATCTATCTATCCGCTTTATAATGTAATGGATTAGTTTCATATGTATCCACTTAGATATAAACAATATCAAAAAAATAAAATTACATTGTTTATTTACTCTATAGATATTCAAATACGTCGTCATGGATAAGATTAAATTGAATCGGTGATCTGAATGGGAATATAAAAAACTCATTTTGTATGAAAAAAAAGTAAATGTTTGAGTAAATACGCAAATTTGGAATGATTTTGGAGTTAAAAACACATTTAATAGTTATTATTTCTTAGAATTTCGGATATCTTCAAAAATGTTCAGTAATCAACTTTGTTTTCTTATATCTGTTTTTCCAATGTATTATAATACATGGCAGATATTATACAGAAATACACACATATCTGCAAATATCACACATACATATCTGCAAATATTTTGAATATACTCGTATATTGCCGAGCTCATCAATAATATATATGCAATATATACCACAAATACCACAAAATATTGTTTTTCTTGCAATTATTTTCTTTTTTTTTTAAATAACACAGCTATAAAAATATGTATGTATATACCTATCATTTGAATTATTATTCGATGAGATCTGAATTACAGGGTTTCATATCAAGAAAAATCAATACTCTTGAATTATATATTTCTAATTTGCCCACTTTTTAGCTCAGTTTCTCGCCTGAGTGTGTGATTATAAAATTAGTGACCCACCGTAAACCCATTGTAAACAATTTGCAATCTGACAATCTGTTAAGATTGTCAGTAAAGAAATCTGTTAAACTAGCTGAAAACTTTTTAACCTCTTTCCGATATTTCTAAAAATTTTAAGAACAGAGTATTTCGGGAAATTTGCTACGATGAGCACAAAAACTGCTATGACTGAATAGTTGTCGTAAATGTAGCGAATGTGAACGAAAGAACGCCGAAAAACATCAGTTATGACAGATTACATACAAATCAAAGTTTTTTGTTTTACACAAACAACACAAGTTCGATCCGATCACCAAATACTTCACACACAAAGAAATGCAATGTTATTGCTTAATACATATATCACCTGATATATTAGTTATTCAATGTTTTAGTAAAGGTCCTCAAATTCAATTATGTAGTCCTTAACTTTCCTATTATTTTTAATTCGAAAAGAATATTCGAATGAAGTATTTTTTATAGTTTAGCACGGGTTAGTTGAGCCGTAACAAATCATATTACAACTGAAAACCTTTAATTTACAATATAGATGATGATATGTGCTTCAGCAATTTCAGTGCCAGATGTGCACTACCGATAACGCATAAAAAAATGAATGAACATTATATCCTACTTACAAATAAATACTAAAATGTATTGGTATACCGATTTTGTGTATAATGTGTATTTCATGTAGTCTTATATTTACACTTATATGTGATCAAATCTTATTATCTAAATATTCATATATCATTATATTTGAACATATACGACTTGACAACATAATATGGGTGCTTATGAATTTGTGCAGCGTATAAACAGCTTATTGTGAATTTTATATAAAGAATATCCTTTGATTGAATACCTCTAATAAATACTATAAAAATGTATTGCAAAGCTCTTTCAGATGTGAAACAATCCGCGGCAACTGATATCAATTAGGACCGGTACTACAATTGGATATTACATGAACCTATGACTACTATTTATAAAAGTAGGATAATTGTATTCTATTATATGTATAAGTATTGTGAATGATTGGTTTTTGAAACTTTGACAAATTTTAATCAAAACCATTGTGAACTATTTTTATTTTCTTTTACATGAATTACATGACATTTGAAGATAATAAGAAAAAACTTAGACAAATATTTAGAATAGTCCGGTATTGCTACAAAAAAACCATAGTTTGAGTAAGTTTTTAGTGTATCAGATGTATACCTTGTATTTTATTGGACATATTTCTTTGTTTCAAACTTAGATCCATCAAGAAAATGAGTAACGTAGATGATAAGAACTTACTAAAAGAGTCCCATCAAACCGAGTGTGATTTAACGATGGAAGCTCCTACTACATCTGTGGCAACAAACAATCCTGCATTAAGCTGTGTGACTGCATCAACCGCAACTGATTCCACAAATTTTTTTGAAGAATTATTTGCACCTGAAGAGGAAGAACAGATGTCAATTGTTTCTCCAGGGAGCAAATACAAAAAAACTTATGGATCTGTAAACATATTTTAATGCATTTATAACTTTATTGTATTTATTATAATATCATGATAATATTGTTTAAATTTAATTTAAGATTTTATCAATAAAGAAGTTGAAAAAATATGAAAATAAGAACAAATTGAAGATTGACGAACGTTGCCATGATCTACTTGAGGAACTGGCTGAAGATTTGTTGGAGCAAGCCTTACTTACGACACGTGAAGTAGTCAATTGCCGAATGAATTTTTTAGTGGACGCCAAAGATATTTCATTTTTTTTCAAACAAAAATTCTATAACAAACAGAGAAAGTAGAGTACATTTTCATTAAAGTTTACGATTTAAATAAAATTATTACGGAAATATTACAGTATAAAATATGAATTCATGTTGACTATAGTTACTAACCATTAAAATGTGATTCTTAATATCACATCTAACTATTCCAATATGTAAATATATATATATTTATATATAAACAGTCAAATCTCCATGACTCGAAGTACCATTCTGCAAAGAAAAGATTCGACTTATGGAGAATGCGAATTAAAGAATTTTTTTGTAACTCTATGTAAATCGCTCTTTAAGTCCTATTGCACTCTATTTAGTTCGACTTGTAGAAAGCTATAAAAAGTTCGAATTATGGAAGATTGATTATAGGTATATATATACAGTCAAGCTTCCATAACTCGAAGTCCAATTTTGCAAAGAAAAGGTTCGACTTATGGAGACTTCGAGTGATGAATATTTTTTTTTTATTTTTGAAAAAATTACTTTTAAAGATATTTATTTATTTGCAATCAAATACAGCACAGAAGTTATAGTAAAGTGTAATAATTAGAAATTAATGTTTGGAATTTTAATTTTTTTTTTCCAGTAAAAAAAGATTTCAATTTATTCCAAGCCTTATAGTAATCATCAGTTGGAATATCATTCGTCTGTAAATAAAAATTCAGAATTTTGAATGAGTCTTCTACTTTATTCTTGGAAGATGAGTGTATAATTTCATCCATCGAACCTGCATCATTATCTTCCGTTCCGTTTAGACTCGGATCCAAAGCTGTAATGCTCAATAATACCGTCATCTGTAGAAAAGTTTGATGTACAAATTTCATTGTCAAGCTTAAAATAACATTAAGAGAAGCATTGGAAGTTATTTTTTTTTACTTTAAACCACGCTGCCAACGACAGGTATTTGCACAAAGAAGCAACTTAAGAAAGAAAAAATTAAAAATTTGGTTTGAAAAAAGGGACTTCCCCTAACAGAAAAATGCATTTTTACTTAAAACAAAAATTCGACTTATAGAATGCACTTTCCTATATTCCTATCGGCACGGAACAAAATTTTTGTTCGAGTTATAGAGAAATTGGAGTTATAGAAGTTCGAGTTATGAATGTAGTATTGTATATAATTTGCTCTCTAAAACATTGGTGCACTGTTTTTGGTTCGAGTTATAGAAAATTCGAGTTATAGAAGTTCGAGTTATGGACCTTTGAATGTATTTATACTTTTATGTTATGTTATGTTGAACCTTTTCCGAGTTAGTGCATCTGTGCACTTTTATTCTATGATGGCTGGGGGGTTTCTACAGAGTCTCATCCACCTCACTAACTAATTTGAGTATTCCCCATAATCGTCGTGATTATTCAATAATTGATCTAAGATCTGCGTAACGCCCCATGCGGTTAGTGCGGTTAGTGATTACTCTGAGATTAGATAGTGCTAAGTAGAGCACGCTGTCGGTTTTCGCATATAGCTTCAGAGCTCTATGTATTATATATTTTTTGACCGGATCTATTCTAAGTTCTGTTAGCATGTCATTCGTGCGAATGTACCATGGCACTTTGATTTATACTTTCATAATTATTAAGATAAAATTACTTGCATTTTCTATAAAGTTAATAATAAAAAATAAATTCTAAGTTTTTTTATAGTTTTAGAATATTAGCTATAATTAGAAGCTAATTTATACCTGCCTCATCAATTTTATAATCTTATAACTGAGACAAACTTCATTCGCTTGAAGTAGGCGTACCACAAATCTGATGTCAATTACTTAGCCCAAAATTATTTAATAGCAGATACAAGTAAACTGAAAAGTAACACATTTTTGTGAGTGCAGGAACTTGAAAACTTAAGTATCTGAAAACCGCAGCAGCGCAGACACTGCTAGTTACAGATACAAGACAGTTTCGCACTTAAAAGTTTCAGTGAATGGCATTGCGGGAAGAAAATCCTTACATTTGCGAAACTCTAAATCTTTGCATGCTCGAAACAAGGTTTTCGTGATAGTTGAGCAAAAAACAGAAAAAACGGAAAATACGGAATAACGTCGACTGTCCTTTACGCATATAAATTAATAGCGACGACACCGGAACAGCGGCGAAAAACTTAAGTCAACTTAATTTATATAATAAACACTAAATACACTTAAAGACCCAAGTGACTGCGTGCGACTTACGTGCGACACTTCATAATTTGCAACTGTAACCGCTTATGTTGCCGCTGCAGTTGTTACAGTCGGTTTTGCTGAAGTCGCTAAAGTCGCTGAAGTCGCTGAAGTCGGTGAAGTCGATCCTTAAGGCAATTTGTTTATTTGTACAAAGGCAGTGCCAGTAGTGGCAACATTGAGCTCCTTCTCCTTGCTGGCTTTTTTCACTGTAAGCATTCTGCGGTTGTAGTAGAAATTGTTGTTTTTACTGTTTGTTTTATTGTTTTGCTGAAGTCACAGGATATTACATTCTGTATATTCGTAAACCGTGCGATGGGCGACAGGCGACGGGCGACGGGCGACGCACAACGCGCATCTATTCGTTAATCCTTTTGAAAATAAGAAAAGTTTTTTAAGAGTACAAACTTTCCACCAAGCGTACCAAGCTGCTGCATAGCTTTCATTCCTTCCGCTTGTTTTCTTCAGCTTGACGCTGATGTCGTTGTTGATCCTTTTGTTGTTGAAGTAATTTTTGTTTGTTTTATTATATGAGCATGCTTTAAAATTAAAATCGCTAAGAAATTAACGTGACTAGAATTTTATAAAGGCAGAAAAAGACATGATGTATGAGCTCTCTAAAAGTTCTGTCGATTGTGTTGACTGCTGAAGGAACAGTACCAATGAAAGCAAAGATAACAGAAAATAAAACTAATCTAGAAAGAAGAATATAACAATGCAAACATTTTTTTTTGAAATCTCAATAATCTATAGTCATGGTTTTCCACCTCATATGTGCTTAACACATATTCTTCAATATTTACTATATTCTTCGAGACCATTATTACTATTAAGTTGAAGTATTTCGTACTGCAAGTTGGAGAGCTATTGTGCCACCTTCATGAATTCAGAGTAGCCCATAAATTCAAGCCAAATTTGTCAAAAAAAACGGTAATATCGAACGTACCTTCGCAGTCTTACTTCTTTATCTCATATGATATGACATTTACACTGGCCTCAAACGGCTCATTTTGGACAAAAATCAAAAATTAGAAGCAAATGTTTCATTTTTGCATACAAAATCTCTGCACAAATGAGATCCAGTGTATTTCATGCTGCATAAATAAGTTCCAACGAGGTTAGAATGAGTTCCAAAGGCTTTACATGGCACTGTTAATTTGAGAAAGTTGTTTGTGACATATTTACAAAAAAAAAGGTGAACAAATCTTTGGTGGTTACGTTACCTTGAAAACGATGCACCTCTTCTTGGAACTTCTAATTCCTAAAAATAAATCAATCGAAGCTAAAAGCAAGTTTTCAGTTTATATTGTAAGGTTTGAACCTATATTTAATCTTCATCCAACATTTTTTTGCACAGGCCAAATCAACAAATCAACAGGCAAGTTGAAAAATCAGCTGTTTGAAATGAGAGCAAATGAATTACAGCGAATGTAAACACTTTTAAATGACTCATTTGAAATAAGTCATTTTCGGCCAGTGTAAACACAAAATTAAATGCTCACATTCACCATGTATTATTATAAATATGCGGTTATATTATATTCTCTCAAAATCCTACAAAATCTATAAGAATTAGTTACTAATGTTGTTATGTCTATCAATTTGTGTAAAGATGATTAAGATGTTTTTATTTAATGTAAGGGGAAAAAAAATTTCGTCATAAGTCTATCGGTCTGATAGACTAATCGGTGAAAACGAGAGAACTATTAAATTATCTAAATTCGACAGAATGGATCTAGTCTCTACTCTTTTATACTAAGAGTTTTTGGGAGAAATGTTGTAGCAAAATGGCAAAAAATCGCTAATTGAGGTACATGGAAGTTAGGTACATGGAAGATCTGCCACTGCAAGCAACCAAACTACAGAACAATTTCGGCACAATAAGCAGCGTACTTCTTTCTTTGAACCTTCTATCTTTGCCGGAAATACCAATATCACCGGAAAGTCATAAGATTCACAACTGATTATTTTGGTCAAGGTTTTCGGAAAATCCGTATATAATACTTATACGTGTTGGATTATCTTGTGGTTCTTAAATATAACATTGCAACCATTTTTATATACAGCTATGGGACTGTATGAAGCAATCAAAGAGGCTGCACAAGAACTAACTGCTAAAAATATGAAAAACGACTGATCAGCAAATCAACTTAAAAGCTATTTAACATTTGGATTATATATTACACATGGACTAAAAAACTAAATAAAACGAAACCACATGAGTTAACTTTACAGACAAATTTATGATATATTTATTTTTATTGGGAACCGAAATTATTTTTATTACTGACTCCAGTTTCTCATCATTTAATAAAAATAAACTTCCGAAGCATAATAATTTCAGAAAATCACTTTAAAATAGTATCAAAATTATAGTATCATTATATATTATATATTATAGTATTATAGTATTATAGTATCAAAAAAACCATAAATAATTTATTTCATTATTTTATTCTAATTTATTTAAAAAAGTCGTCCTCTAAGTCAATATATATATATATACCATATATTCTGACATATTTTATAATATATAATTTATAGACCGATTGGTCGAGTTCGTTTTTATTATGTCAGCCGAAGCCTTGGATGATCGAAGTGATTTTGTAAGGAATGTGATTTTTGTTTGAGGAATAGGTAGAATAGGGCAAACGAAGCCAAATCTACTGAATAATAAATACTCTTCGATAAGTCGTGCAGACATATATTAGTGGGTTAAAAGAATTTTTTTCACACTTCTGATATTTTGTGGACAATCATACAGAAACCCTCTGCGCGGAATACGTATTTGTTTTAACATATTGTAGCATTACGTATATTTTTGTCTCACTTTTATTTATTTTAAGAAGGATCTGATATTTCTCATACTTTCATAGTGTTATCTTATCATATACAT